TGTTGACACTTAGCTCAATTAATGACAAGTAGCTCATGAGTCATGTCAAAGAATCCTTAGAATTGCAGAGTTTGATACATAGAAAAGAGTTCAATCTCACAAGTTATAGTTCAATGTAAGCCTCTTACATCAATTTTTAAGTAATGTAGGTAGATATTCTGAAACATGTGAACACACATTCCCTTTATTGATCATTGAATTTGCAGAAACTAAGTGTTGTGACTGGAAATGGAGAAAAGAGTTAGGGACAATGTTACCACTTCTCTGAAATATAACTTGTAAATTGAACAACATTGCAACAATTTTCAATAATATTACCAAAGCAATTTGAATGATAGATTTTGGGGAAACTCCTGTCCACCTCAGTCTGCCCATTCTGAGCTGAAAGCAATTCCAAAACCAAAAAAGTTAAACATAAGCTAAAGTAAAATGCCCCAGGTGAAAGATAAATAACAATTTGTATGTTTAGTTGGTGGATTTTTAGTTATTCATATTTGAGTATGCTTTATATTTTAGTAGTTTTAACGTTTGTTCGACATTGTGAAAGACTTTTTGGATTAAGCCTTATGTTATGATAACTTTGTTTGATATATTTGTTCGACATTGTGACATTATTTTGTACTACTTTTTTTTAATCTTTATATTTTAATTGATATAGATGGTAGATAAAAGACAAGGGTAAATAAAAAAAATCCGCTAAATCCAAAAAAGAAATTTAAGGCCAATGCTATGAGAAGGCCCACTGGGGTCGTGATATTTGATGAGCCCTCTCGAGTTGATATTTCAGAACGAGCCTCAGTTTCAACTACTCACTCGGCACACCAGTCACATAATGCCTCTACTCATGTGGCTCCACAATCTGGTTATACTATATCTACACCCACTGTGGTACCTAGTTCGGGTTACCAAACATTGCAGGGCTATTCACATCTTGGTCGTGGGTCTACCATCTCATCAACTAGTGCTAGTCAGTGCAATAGTTTGAATACTAGTAGTGGATCAATTGGACTTTCCAATCTTCATCTTGAATCCAATGGCTCAGAGCCTAATACTCCCACCACCCAACACTCAGATGCACATGGTCCTCAGCCAGGCGATAGAGACAATTTCGGAGACTCGTCATCGAGCCATTAGGATACAAGTATGATTTAATTATGTTTCATATTTCATTTATCTATTTATATTTTAATTGATTGATTATTTTTTGTTTATTCTACTTTGTCAATGAACTCGTATTTCAGCTTATGTCCGGATGTGGGTATGGCAAAGATTATTTTAAAGTGCATCGGAACTCACTATAATGGTGTGTATCCGAATTGGAGTTCGATTCCACTTAACACCCAAGGGCAGATGTTCAACGAATTTAAGGTAAGAATATATATAAATTAAATTCACATCATATACATCTAAATTCTCTAGTCATTTGAACAATAAATATTTAGTTATTTTTTATTACAGAAATATTATGTATGGGCTCCCGAACACGAGGATGACGTTCAAGTGAACTTCAAGCTTAAAGCTTCAAAGTTGCTTTCTAGCACATTTTGTGACTGTCGGAGAGAAAACATAATTCTTAAGTTTATGTTATCGGATCGATGGGCTCTGTTACTGAAACATTGGAGTACTGATGAAAAATTTAAAAAGAGGAGTGAGATTGGGAAGATGGCTCGCGCATCAGAAAAGGGAGGCTCTTTGCACACTGGTGGAGCTATTAGCCAGGTTACTAGGAAGGAAAGAATGGTATACTTTCTTAGTTTAGTAAAATAATATTTTTCTTTTTTAATAAGTACTTTTTGGAGATTAATGAGATCAAATTCTATATATGTTATTTGCAGGAAAAAGAGTTGGGTAGGCCGGTAGCTGTAGCAGAGATGTTCAAGGTTACTCACGTTAAGAAGAGTAACGAACCCCACAGAAGAAGAAAGATGGATTGAGCCACGTGCTCAAGAGACATATGTAAGAACTCCATTCAAACTAATCTTTTTTTCTTTTCCTTGTATATATATATATATATATATATTACATTCTTATTCGTAGAGTTCTTTCTTTAAATTACAGGATAGGTATATACGAATATCTCAGGAATATCGTAGTACTCTACCTCTTGAGAGTCAGGACAGACCATTTACACAAGAAGAAAACGAGAATCTTTGGAAACAGAGTGCTGGTGAACCGATTAGAGGTTCAATCTACGGCTATCCAGAAAAGGCGTATCAGAAGAAGAAGTTTTGGTATTGTGGTGCATCATCATCAAGCTTTGATGGCGGGGATAGAGAGACAATATCTGCAATGGAGAATAAGATAGCTTATCTCAATGCCGAGCTTGCTGCTGTAGCCGAAAGAGAGAAGAAGAGAGAAGAAAAAGAGAGGATGAGAGAGGAGGAGATTGCGGCAGCAAAGGAGGTAGAGAACAAGAGGTATGCAACGCTTCAGGCCCAACTAACTTTTCTTTTTGAATCAGGAAATATTCTTCCTCCATGTCCAACCAGCAGTGATGGATCTGATCAGGAGGGTGATGAGAATGATAAGTCTGATAAGGAAAGTGAGGGTGATGAGAATGGTAAGTCTGATAAGGAGAGTGAGGGTGATGAGGAGTAATTGTATCTATTTGACATTTTAGACTTCTATAATTTTGGAATTGTTTAATTTGATCGTGTTTTAGTTTATTTTGAAGTTGGATGAAGTTTATTTTGAAATAGTTTAATGTATATGTTGAAAATATTGTGTTGTTTTAGTTGGATGAAGTTTATTTGGCTTTGGGTTGTTTGGTATAAATATGCAGGTGGACAACTAAAAATTGCAGCAATTTGCTGCCTGTTTTGTAGCAGAAAACCGACCTACGGAGGTCAGAATTTCAAAAATAAAAAATAAAATACCGACCTCCGGAGGTCAGAATTTTAAAAATACAAAAATAAAATTACCGACCTCCGGAGGTCGGTAATTTTATTTTTGTATTTTTAAAATTCTGACCTCCGGAGGTCGGTATTTTTATTTTTGTAATGTTGAAATTCTGACCTTCGGAGGTCAGTATTTTATTTTTGTATTTTGAAAATACCGACCTCCGGAGGTCAGAATTTTAAAAATACAAAAATAAAATTACCGACCTCCGGAGGTCGGTATTTTCAAAATACAAAAATAAAATACTGACCTCCGAAGGTCAGAATTTCAACATTACAAAAAATAAAAATACCGACCTCCGGAGGTGGGTCATTTTATTTTTGTATTTTTAAAATTCTGACCTCCGGAGGCCGGGATTTTTATTTTTGTAATGTTGAAACTCTGACCTCTGGAGGTCGGTATTTTTATTTTTGTAATGTGGAAATTCTGTCCTTCGGAGGTCAGTATTTTATTTTTGTATTTTGAAAATACCGACCTCCGGAGGTCAGAATCTCAAAAATGCAAAAATAAAAATACCAACCTCCAGAGGTCGGAATTTAAAAATTAAGAAGATACAAATATCGACATTCGGATGTCGGTATTCCAAAATATGAGAAATAAATATTCCGACCTCAGGAAGTCGGAAATAATAATATATAAAATTGACCTCAGGAAGTCGGAAAATAAAATAATGAATTTTCTGACATAAAATAAAAACTGACCTCGAGAGGTCGGTATTGAATAGAGACCAAGCTTTTGCCGACCTAAGCTGGGATGTCGGTTTTAGGTCGGTATTTCAGGGAATACCGACCTTCGGAGGTCGGTATTTGTAGGTCGGTATTCGCTGGTTTTTTAGTAGTGATAATCACATCCAAAAAATACCTAGGCAAATGATACCCCCCATCCACAAAAGAATATGCTTTGCCCTCAATGCATCCAAAACGACAATCAGTGATCATAGGGCTGGGGTTACCATGGACGCTCTAAGCACCAAAGTGTGGGTCTGATGGTAGGGCAGTGTCCTCTGTTGTCTCTGTTGCATCAGTAGTGGTGAGAGTCATCGGTGACAGGGTCAACCAGGGTGTCATCAACCAAAAGCTATGAAGAACTACCGGAAGCCCTATTAAGACGGCCTCTAAGATCATCACTCATCTACAAAGATAGAACATCATATACCTTCACTTGAGCAACCAGAGTTCCATCAGTGCATTAAAGATGTCATAGGGATCTTTCCAAACCAAATTAACTCCTCCACACTAGGAATGAGATTTTGAAGGGAATTCCTTTTATCCACAATTTTATCATGTCTTCAACTTTGTCTTTCTTGTTTCATGAAAATTTTCAAACTAATTTTATTGTGAATTTATCATTACTGATTTTAGTCTACCAAACTTTGTAACCTTGATTACTGAGATAAGCAGGATGAAACTTTGCCTGAACATGGTCAGCCACATATTTTAGAACAAAATTTCTCATTAGTGTATGATATAATCTCTCCTACTTTAAAAAAATTGTCACGACTCCAAAATGGTTGTGATGAAACTTGTTTTTTTCCACCAAGACAAGTCAACCTCAACTTAACAAAGCGTAAGAAAAAGCGAAAAGATGAAACAAGAACAAGATAAAAGCGGAAAACTTATTCATTCTACTATAACCTCAAAAACTGTTTGTCATGTGTACAACCCACTAAAGTAAATACAAAAGTTGAAAGATAAATACAAGTCTCAATGTCTTTATTTCTCAAGTAGAACAAAACATAAAGTAAAGAAATGAGAGGTTTGTGATTGCTAGTTTAACGTTTATAAAAAAACACTTCATCCAATTCAAAGTGCAAACGGTCGTTAAGCAATATATAACCCAACAATTGAGTTGGGGTCAAATTCCATAGGGAGTGGTACATGTTCAAATTCAATCAAGAAGTACGAATATGATCTAATTAGATATAGGAATCAAAATTATCGAAAAAGTCATGAAACAAATTAAAAGGGGTGACACAAATGTCAGGGGGGGTTTTGGATTGCAATTATCAACTACTACGCAGTCACAAACAATTTGAACTAACAATAAGGAGAGGAATTCTCGGGATGTGATCGATTATAAGTAAATTTCAATATATGGGTAATTGAAACTACTAGTAAACAACTACAAATAAGTGAGTAAGCTAGACTATAAGGGAGATAGATTTCTCTCGAACAACTATCCCGAATTAGGTGATTTCTTTTGAACATCAACAAGCATAACAATGAAGAACAACCCACACCATAATTCATCCACTCTCTCGAGCTAGATGGGTAGGATTGGGTTTAGGATTCACTCTCTCGAGCTGAACCCAGCTCAACTCAATACCTACAAATCATTAATCAATAATCTTAGTTCTAAAACCTCTATCTCAAGCAATGTTAGAACTGAATTTGCAACTACAATTCATAAATTAAACCACAATTAATGATTAAAATCACTTCAATATAGCATATAAACTAGTAATTAACAATACCCATAAACTAATTCAACCCATAATCACATGATCACACCCCAAGAATTGAGATTTTAGCCAAGCATCATAAAAAGGTAAAAATGGTTACCAAATCGATTAGCCATCAATTGGGTAAGAGTAATTTAGTCTTTACAATGCTTCAATATGCAGAAAATTCGAAACCCACTTCCAAAATGTCCAAAATGTCCAAATTGAATCTCCAAACTCTTTCAAGTCTATTTAGAAACCATGAAAAGCTCAGAAGAGAAAAATTCTAAACAGACTCACCATCAGTCAACCTTCCTAAATTAACTGTTCAAAATCTAATTTGTTGTCGCCAAAAATAAGCTACGAAGGGACATTAGGCAAGGTAAGTCGGGTTCGCCGAACCACTCGGTGAACCACCCATTGCTCTCTTCTATCGCCTTTTTACCTTGGCTCTCAGCTTCCTCAAGTCCAGTAACTTTGGGTGATCTCTCTTTGCATCACGGAATTGCTCGGCGATTCGCTGACTGCCCCTTTTTATCGCCAACTTGGTTTTTTCCCTCAGGGCTGGCACGCTGGAACTTTAGGCGGTCAACTTAGCAACTTGGCGATTCGCCAAGTGCTCTTGGCGTTCACTAGGCTTGCCATTCTTTATTTCTTCAATTTGTTTTGTTCCTTTTTGCCTATTAGTGTCCTTGCTTTGTTCCTCAATCCATATACCTAAAAATCAAGGTTTTAACATCAGTTTATGGCACAAATTAAGCATTTGAGGACACTAAATCTATATAAACAAAACCCTAAATGAGTTCAAATCTCGGACTCATCAACACCCCCAAGTTAAACTTTTGTTTGTTCTCAAGTAAAACTCAAGATCAGTAGTTCAAAAAGGATGTCTCAAATAGTGCTGCATAAAACTCAACATGAATGCACACAATAAGGTTCAACCTACTCATGCCATGACCAACTGTGAACTCAAAGATTCAAATTGTGACTTACCATTATCAAAGATGTTCAAGTTCACAATACTTGCTTCAAATGCAAATTTAAGCTCAACAAAGGTACTCAAATGCCCTCACAATAAACATGATTCCCTATTCACACAAAGTTCTTCAACAATTTATAGTTCTGGAATCATATACGACTCTCACACCCACAAAGATGAACACATGCATGACTTTACCCATAGGTTTACCCTTATTTTCCAATCAACATTCGTTTCAG